GTTTTGACATTCGAGAAAAATAAGGAAGTAGTTATGCCTCTCATAAATTTGTCTGATAACGACATTATCCTTAAAAATAAGAAACCTCTAGTTAGGGCTACGCCTTGCATTCCAGAAGAGCAAAGAGATATAAATCAAATTTTAAGTATGAGCACCAAAGTAAAAACTTCTTCATCACTACCTATAGAGGAAATAAAAGTTGGACCAATAGACCCTACTCATAAAGAAGCTTTGATCAAGTTATTACAAGAATACAGGGACTGTTTTGCCGAAAACACCGCGGAATTAGGCAGTGCAAAGTCTGCTGAAATGGAAATAGTTTTGGAAGATAATAGGCCCTTTACTTATAGACCGTATCGAATGTCCATTATTGAACAACAAAAGGTAAAAACAATGATTGGTGAATTATTGGAAAACGAAATCATACGTGAATCCAATTCTCCATATGCATCGCCCATATTACTTGTGAAGAAAAAGACTGGTGATGATAGAATGTGCATCGATTATAGGAAATTAAATTCAATGACAGTTAAGGATCGTTACCCGTTACCACGCATAGATGACCAGTTAGATAGATTACAAGGAAGTATTTATTTTACAAGTTTGGATCTTCGATCCGGATATCATCAAATACCAGTTGCTGAAAAATCTAAACAGTACACCGCCTTTGTAACTTCGGATGGTCAATTTGAATACAATCGTATGCCTTTTGGTCTGGCGAATGCGCCAGCCGTTTTCCAAAGACTAATAAATAAGGTTTTGGCTCCTGCAAGAGAGACTGCAGCCGTGTATCTTGATGACGTTCTAATCCATACAAAAACAATAGAGGAGGGATTACAAAAACTAGAGACAGTTTTAAAATTACTTAGAAACGAAGGCCTTACTTTAAATGTATCAAAATGTAGTTTTCTATATCAATCTGTAAACTATCTGGGTTTCGAAATTTCGAATGGAACATTTAAACCAGGTCTTGCAAAGACAAAAGCTATTGAGGAGTTTCCAGTACCAAAAAGCGTACACAACGTCCGCCAATTTATTGGACTAACAGGTTATTTTCGACAATTCGTCAAGGATTATGCAACAATAGCGCGGCCTCTAACTGCCTTGTTAAAGAAAAGCGTGGCGTGGCATTGGGGAGAAGATGAGCAGAAAGCATTTGAAAAACTACGATCAGCTTTGTCCCAAAGACCAATTCTAGCCATATTTAATCCTGATGCTCACACGGAAGTCCACACAGATGCAAGCTCACACGGTTTGGCTGGAATCTTGCTTCAAAAACAACCAGATGAGCGTTTGCATCCAATTGCATATTACAGTAGGCAAACTAGCAACACTGAGAGTAAATTTCATTCTTATGAATTAGAAACTTTGGCAGTCGTGGAAAGTTTAAAGAAGTTTAGAGTATGCCTTCTAGGTTTGCACTTTACTGTGGTAACAGACTGCAATGCCTTAAAAGCAACAAGTACAAAAAAAGATATACTACCCCGTATAGCACGATGGTGGTTGCAACTGCAAGATTTTAACTTCGAGGTAAATTATCGACCGGGTAATAGATTAAAACATGTGGATGCTCTTAGCAGAAACCCATCAACAAGTGAAGAACCACCAGCTGAAATTTTACGAGTAGAGCAAGCTGATTGGGTTTTATCAGGACAACTTACAGACGAAAAGCTGAAAGAAATTAAAGAAGTTTTGTCCAAGCCACCAAATTCTGATTATGAAAAGGAAATATACAAAAACTACGCTTTGCGAGATGGAAGGATTTATCGCATAACTGTAAAAGGATTACTTTGGGTAATACCACGTGGTATGCGACAACAGATAGTTCGAATGGCACATGATGAAAGTGGACATTTCGCTACAGAAAAGACGTTGAAACGATTATGTGAGCATTATTGGTTTCCTCGAATGCGAGAATACGTGCAGAAATACATTACTTGTTGCATTCCATGCTTGTTTAACAAACGTCCAAGTGGAAAGCGAGAAGGATTTCTACATCCTATCGAGAAGATGCCTGTACCATTACACATGATTCACATTGATCATGTAGGACCTTTTCCAAAAAGTCGTCGAGGAAATATTCATCTTATTGTAGCTGTAGATGCTTTTACCAAGTTTGTGTTTTTGAAACCAGTAAAGTCGACAAAAACAAAGCTAGTTATTGATTATTTACAGGAAATTTATAGCTACTATGGTCATCCCCATACCTTAGTATCTGACCAGGGAAGTGCATTTACCTCATCTAAATTTAAACAATACTGCAAATATAACTTTATTAAACATATACAAAACGCAGTAGCTACACCAAGAGCTAATGGGCAGGTTGAAAGATTGAATCGCACAATTAAAGGAGCTATTTTGGCAACAACTACTGATGAAGATAGATGGGATGAGAATATAAAGAATATTCAGTTAATAATTAATACTACTTGTTCACAAACAACAGGAAAGACACCGACAGAACTATTCTATGGTTATAAGCCTAGACGTGGAACAAGTATACCTTTACTAGATGAAATTGTGAAAATTCCTACTTTAATCCAAGATCTTCCCACACTACGCTTAGAGGTTGCTCAGAAAATTTCCTCCAATCAAATCAAACAAAAGGCACAATATGACAAGAAAAGAAAAACTCCCAAGAAATATAAGAAAGGCGACTTGGTACTCATCGAGAAACAACGCTCAGCTGAAGGCACTAGTCGAAAATTAGTCCCTCCTTATGCCGGACCCATGATGGTAAAAGCGGTATTACCAAATGACAGATACCTAATTGTCGACATGCCAAAGTCCCATAGAACTATTAAGTCCACTAACTACGAGAAGGTCATTGCTGTCGACAGGATGAAGCCTTGGGCTAACCACGGGGGAATATCAGATGAAACAAGCAGTGATAGCGGTGAAGATGATGTGGAGTTGAGTTCTGATGATTCAGTATCCAACTAGAGTAACCACCTCGGGGCGAGGTGATTTCAGGATGGCCGAATGTAAGTCATTATTTTATTAAACCTATTTTATCGAAATTAAATGACGAAAAATGAACGTGGGCAATACATAAACACACGCTCGACTGTTTATATTAACTGCTTGATGAAATTCTAGCCGCTCTTGAAATAAGTACGATAAAGGGGCTTTGATTTACGATTATTGTACACACATAGATTTTAAAATATAAAAGTCTTAAGTAACGTAAAATCATTTGAATCATTCATGTATGAGCAGTGTGTTGAAGTTGTTGTTTAGTTCAGTTGATACAAATACTTTTTATAGTGCAAGACTCTTTATATTTGTGGGTGTAAAATAACTACAAGCTAAACAGGTGAGCTTATCACTGAGTGTCTTTTCTTTAGTAATCTGAATGTATATTTATGCAGCGTTGTTATTTACTAGTAATTATTGTATTTACTTTGAATATGAAAATAACCGATTTAAGGACTGATTTAATAATAGTCCGTACACACGTAAAATTATCTGGAGCGGACAATTGCGTGTTTAATCCCTTTTGTCCATTGCACTACTCAGATGTCGACCACAGGTCAAGCTCTAGTAGCTGGAGCGAGCAAGTTGCGAGTTTAGCCCTTCATGCTCATTGCACAACTCAGTACTAGGAGAAGTATGAGACGTACCGCGTGTTTAATCCCTTTACGTCTAAGGGTGATAACTAGGTAGAGGTCACGTCGCGTGTTTAATCCCCTCGTGACCTAACTGCGATCTCCTAGTTACCACGCCTTGATTATGAACAAGCTATACAAGCTATATAAATAGCAATAAAATACAATGCGTGTTATATCCCTTTGTATTTTGGTGATTGTACGAATCGTTATTAAATTGATTAGTATTTAGCAGGGTTATGAGAGTAGACACTCATGTACGTTTTCTTTATTATAGGTAAACCAGATTATGCGCACTAAATGGAAAGTACCTCGACCATCAATCAGACCATCTTGACACTTGTTAGTTTATTTGGTAATTACATTAAACATTAAATGGGTTAATAAAAACAGTTATTAATTAAAATCGTTATTTGACTTTTAACATTCTTTTCTTTTAGTTTACTTTTTAATATTTTTAAATTAAATTACAATTAATTTTTCCGCGTTACAATGATAATAACATGTTAAAATTCGCAAAATTCCTGGAACAAAACAATTGGTCAATCTCAGTGGGCCTTTTAATCAAACGGCAAAATTCTGGGAAACCCAGCAACTCCCAGAACACACCTTCCAAGAACCACCCCTTTACCCTACTACAAAAGCCTAACAACCGTGTAAACCGTAAAAAATATCGCCAGTTCTCGAATATACCCCCCAAATTCAGAACACACTAGCGTCCTTATCGCACACATGCAACCGAAAAGAGACGGAAAATCAAGCAAAGAAATACGTCGTGAAAATTATGGTAATCCTTACGTAATTGTTACGAGGGAGACAACGCCGAAAGGTAGGCGTAGAATGAGTAAAATCCCGACCAATCAGAGGAGGGACGTGAGCCGAACCTGCCTTTGTCATCAATGGGTTATAGACTGTGCTAACTTAGATAAAAGCAAGCGTTGTTGCCATGTTTCCGGTTTTAGTCCTTTAGAATTTAGTTATTACAGTTTTGTTGGCTAATTGAGGGTTTTTACTTGGTTTTTATGCAAGCTTAGGGAGTTATTTGGGATATTTCGTTGATTATTATTGCGGGAGTTTTATTAAAAGTGTCATATTTGGTAGGGCGCCTCCCCTTAGGTTGTGGGAATGGAATGACCCGTAGCGTATTGCATTTGTCCGTGTAGTTGTAAAATCAGTAGTATTTTACGTTCCGTCGTGAGCACGTCGTACTCTTTCGTAACATTATGACCGGTTTTTAAACACCAGCGAAAAAAACACTTAAAATTCTTATAATGCCAATCGCTGTTCGATCCTAGTGTTTGTTGTATTCTATTCGCTTAACAATCTGCAAGGAAAAGTTAATTAAAATTGGTCAAAGTGGCGTCTAATACGGGAAAATCACGCAAAGAAAATATGCTTAAATATGTAACTAACAAGTTGAGAACACATTCGATAAACGAGGACCACAGTAAGGTTTGTATTCCGATTGAAAGGTTCCGTGAAAAAAAAATTACAACCTCTTTGAAGGTCAGTTAGCTTTGTGAAAAATGGCTGCTATGCCAAAGCACATAACAAAGAAACTATCCCATTATCTCGACCGAATGCAGTTTAAACACCAAATATACCTAGAAAACATACAAAAACATCCCCAGAACCATAAATTGTTTTAAACAAGTGAATACTTTGCTTTTAATCGCAGTTACCGGCGATCCGTTGACGTATAAAACAAAACACAAATGTCAATTCATTAAGTAATCGTTATTTTTTTTTGCTATACAGGCCGACGATAATCACGACTCCGGCACCGAATCGGACGAAGATTTAGAAACCACGGATATTTCTGGTAAGTACTTTCGATTTTCCTCCGCGTCTAAATTTAAAATCAGCTCCATTTAAATCCGCGAACAGCTGACTCTAACGGCGGACGTCAGTCGCCAACTTAGATTTTCGTGAGCTGGCAAATAAATAAATAAATATGCGAGAGCGATTTATGGGCAGAGCGTGTGGGAGATAAATATTTACGTTAAGTTTTACAGGATTTTTTGACACTAGCGTGTGTCCGGAATTTCTATTTGTTTTTAAGAGCTCATAGCTACATCTAAATGGCTTCTAGATATATGACAGATTAACGTTAATAAAGGCAATTTGGTGTGGGTATTTTACACTTATTAATGTCTATACTGTAAGGGATAGGTACCAATAATTTTTGACAGTTTTAGGATTTAAACAATTGGACATTTGTTTGGCTGTTTTATTACATTTTTCATAATATGTTTTATACTTTTATACAGTTTTAGTACAAAAGAAATTTGACAGTATATCGTTATTCTATTGGTTTAAAAAGCTAACTAACCATTAAGATATATGCTTGACAGAATGATAATTTTATGCATCAGAGCTCATTTGTGGAGCGTTTAATTGTCCACAATTATACTCTCAATAATTTACAGGGTGTCCCAAAATTACCTAAACAAAATAAAGTCCGATAGAGTAAAAACATTGCACTCTTATTGGCGGCCTTAAAAATTAAATAACTCCTGCAATTTACACATTATGTTAAGTTTGAACGAAGTTTTAGGTAAAACCTTCTGTTATTATGATGTAATGATATTTTTGTGAAATGTATGGTTTTATTATAATTTTTAACTGATAAAAAGTAAGAAGCAACAAATTCTCTGAAAAATTAAAATAATTAAAACCTCTTTAAAACCAATTATTTTTTTGTTATCGGAATGTTTAATTGTATAATTAAGATAAAACGTTATTTTTAACGTTTTATAAAGGAAGTAGGCTAGAATAAAATAACAATATTCTTATATATATACATATATGTGTGTAGTTGCGTAAATAGTTTTTTTAATTTCGTAAATCTACATATAAATATGGGAAATAAAATATAGTTATAGGAAAATTTCCTTAATTAGGACATTGCAATGATATTTATCTAGTTTTAGAAAGTCAGCCTATACCAAATATGCATATTTATTAATTAGGCAGTTTGTTAATGTTTTGAAAAAAATGTATTTATGTAATATAATGTGGATAATTTTTTTTTTATTTTTTTAATAAAATAATTTATTTAAAACACCACACCTTTATGGTATTTGAATACCGTTAATTTCTACAAAAAATGGCCGAATTAAAATAAAATACCCTCTTCCAAATATAAAGATGGTCACCACACCTTTACAATGTTTACTGGCCCATAACTGCAAAGAAAACATGTTCGATCATGTTAAAAACTCCGAGTATACAAACAAAACCCAGCTCTTTTAAATGCAGTTTTCCGATATCTCGATTTTCGAATCGGTCGCCACACCTTTATAGCACTTAATCATTACATAATGACTGTAATTATAAGGCATAATTTAATTTTGATATCGAAATGTAGTGTATTATCGAAAGTAGTTCTATGCGAGAAAATCGCAAGGTAAAATGAGAAAATCTCGCAACTAATAATGTTGTGTAATAGCTGTGTAATTATCGCCCGATAAAACCGCCTTTTCCAAGACCTTTTAACCCGTTTGTAAAAAAGAATTGTAAATAAATTCGATGTTAAATCATCGTACATTTTTAGCTTTTCAACCGCTGTTACCTTGAACTTGACACTAGATCTATTACTGGCTGCTTGTTTAATGTATCTGGTTAATCCGATGATATTTCCCCTTGATTTTTGAAGTAAGGTTAAAAGAATAGGTGCACAAATACAGGGTGTTTCAAAAGTACACCAATAAACCTTCGTTGTTGTTGTTTTATTTATTTTAAATATCTACAAATTTGTAATTGTATTAAGACGCATTTTGTACAGGTCTAAAGCAGAGGCAGTTTGGTACATTTCTACAGTATTGGCATAAATTAATTTATTGATTTAATTGATTATATAAAATTAAATGTTAATCAAAATTTTATAAAATGAAATAAATTTTAATCTGAATGCTTTTGTTACAATTTAATATACATATGTATAAGAGTAATGAAAATAGCGGTCTGATTGGCTTACTTATCTTGTTTTGAAAATTTCAAAAATTTGTAAAGAGGTAATCTTTGTAGATTTTCTCAAGGAATTTAATTAACTGTATATTTTAATTAAATAAAATAATTTTTAATTTTAACACCAAAAAATTTTTTTACTATCTTTATGCAATAAACCGTTTTATTATAAAAATTTTAAATACCTATAGGTATATAAGATAGTAAACAAATTTGACAGGTGTTAAAATGACAGAAGTCAAAAATTAAAAATTATTTTATTTAATTAGTTTGATTATTTCCCTCATTATAATATGAACCAATCAAAAGCCTTGAATTTTCGAATAAATTTCGTTTAAATAAGCCATTAAATCACTAGAACTATTTAACAGCGATTAAATTTTAGCCTCCATATTGGATTTTTGTTTACGATTTTATGGTGTTATTTACAAGTTTTAACAAACATTTTTTAAAAAACAATAAAAAATAAGTTATCTAGTTTACGAAATATCAATTATTACTTATTACATACATTAAATTAATGGAATTTTCTTTAAAAAAATATTTATAAATTTTGACACATACATACGTCAGTTTTTATGAATTGTCAAATAGTTTTTTTTAATTCGAGAAATAATCTAGACGTATATCACTCAACCTATAAATTTAATCTGTCAAACTATGCTCAGTAAGTTTTTTATTTGATTTTTCTTTTTGGAAAATAGTTTCATGCAAAATAATTAAAAATAAAACCCCTCGACCGCTACGCGGTCTCGTGATTTTATTAAATTATTTTGCATTCAACATTTTCCAACAAAAACCAAACAAAAAACTACTGAGCCTAGTTTAACCGATTAAATTCATAGTTCTCGTGATATAATATATGATTATATAACCCAATTTAAATAAAAATTCATATGTTATACGCACAATGCAAAATTTAAAAAAAACAAAGGGTTATTAACACTTCACCTCTAATAATATTATAAAAATTGTTTGAATTATGATAACAGTTTATCTAAAAATTTATTATAGTACAATTTATTTATTTTTCGATATAAATATTTGTAGTAATGTACTCGTAACGAAATAAAGTCAGTACATTCTATAATTTTCTAATATGAATGAAATTAAAAATATAAGCAGAAAAGTTTTAATATTTTGGTTAAAGTTTTCTTTATTAAATTCTTTTTAAAATTCCTAACGTCAATTTTAATTCCTTTTTCGACTAAATGCTTTCCTAAAATAAGAATTTTTTAAAAAGTATTTTACTGTTTTTGGTTTCCCTTTTTGGGGCCTTTTTAGGAGCCTTTTTTAAATTTTAAATGCCTTTTACTCCGGTCTTTACTAATCACATATATAAATATGTATACGAAAAAATCATTACCACGAAATGAAAAAAACTAGATACCTAGGTACTATAATGTTTATTTTATCCTGTGTAAATACAAATAATCTAAGTTTTGATAGTATTTTTTTTGTATTTTTACGAAAGCATTCGATTAAAAACAAAATATTTCGAAATAATTTATTCCCAAAAAGGAAACATTACCGTTTCAAAATAGATAAGATATTCAAGAATATTTTAATGAAGTTAATAACGTTTTCTTGTTAATTAAAATTTGTTAAAAATAATACAAAAATCAAACATTTTTGTTATTTTACCCGTGGTATTGGTTTAAACCATACAACAATAATTAAAAAGAATTAGTGGAAAACCTAAACAGAATTTAAAATTTTTTTACTCTTTATATTTACCTATATGTACCTACATAATTTTTAACTAAATACCTACCTATCTTAAAATGCAGCATCATAATATACTGTTATCTACTTTCACATTGACAAGCTGTGACTATAGCATTTTAGTCACGGGCTCAAGTTAAAAGTCTTTGGGGTTCGAATTACCCGCACTGTATATATATCTAAAAAAAAGTTTTCTCAATATTATAAATATATTTTTTCTACTCCCACCTTTAAAACGACCATTATCGTTCATGTTTCCATGACACTAAGTGACCTCTTAAATACACATTGACAAGTTGTGGCTTTATGGCGCTTTAGTCACGGGCTGAAGTTAGCAACAAGTTTTTAGTCACGGGCTGAAGTTAGTTTTAAGTTAGTTGACTGTTGTCAAATGTCATACATTCGTTAAAATAAATTGCCTTTCTTGTAAAATAATACTAAATGTGAAAATTATTTTATTATCTCAATACAAAAATACAAAAATATTAAATAGTTTCTCAATGCCAATATTTGAAATGTTTATATGAACATTGAACTGGCCTTTTAATTTTGCCGGCAGTAAACTATAACTTAAATTCGGGCACGGACTCCACTGTAAAGTGCTCATAAAACATTTTCTTTACTTTCACTGTAAAAAAACTGTCCATTTTCAAGAAATACATTTCGATTTATTCGATTTCGAAAAATTTGACATTTGTCGGTGACAACAGATTCCCCTATTGTTTCATAGATGTCGCTTTATACAAATTTTTGATTTAAATCATTTTAAGATAATAATAGTATTTGTCGTAGAAAAAGTATAGTATGCACCTCGTTTATAAACTTTTCTATACACTCATTAATTTAAGAACTCGCTCGCAAGCTAAATTAAATTCGTGTATAAAATGGCGTTTATTAAACTTGATACATAATATACTATTATTTTTATCTCATTAAAAGCATTGTTTTTGGCAGTTTTACAACAATTACAACAAAATGTATTATTATACAACCAATTTGTAAATCCCAAGCTGTCTGCAATGAAAATAATTTTATCTTTTTGTTTATTGTTTATTTTAGTACCAACATATAAAATAAAATTTTAAACTCGAAAAATTATTCAATTGTTTTCATGTGATGATAGTCACG